GAGTTTGGTGAGAGTATCTTACCCCATCATCCTACATCGGACACACCTGCAGCCTGTAGTGAGCTCTGAGGCAGACTGGTAGCATTGAAGATGATGCGTCAACATTCTAATTTATTCCAGAACATGCATGTTCCATCCAACATTCCATTCTATTCTCAAATGGCATTTTATGAATTATTTTATGAATTCTTTTATGAATTCACTGTTTGCTAGTTCAGCGTTCATTGTGTTTTCCATGGCACAGTTTTCACAAAACTCCACACATTCTGACCCATTAGCAGTCATGAAATAACACTGTATATTACAAAAATAAATTGCATACATGCAAAAAGTCACAACAAAAGTTTAAGCTGTGGCAAGTAACTCCACAAATGATCCTTTTAACATTGTTAAGCTGTCTATGTTTGCAAATTCATATTCAAATGCTAATATATTGCATTCCGTGTACTGTATGGTAACTATAGCCACACCCAAATCTCACCTGCACCTGAGTTTGGGAATTAGTCAGTTGATGGATTTAAGACCTTAAAACTGTCTCGAACTGAATTATTTGGTGGATAATAGTTATTAAGACAAATAAGTCTTTCTATTAATTATTTTTTTTTATGTGGCACCTTTCACTGCTCTGATTGGAAGAAAAGATTACTCAATTAGCATTTTACTGCTATGACTTTTTACAATGTACTATACTCTGACTTTATTCAACATGCTAAACTGCTTATATCGACGTATTTATGACAGAGAGGAACAGAGCTGAAACAAGTGGTTTCAATAACCACAGATAAAGTCCCTGCACACAAATGTCTCTTTTTAGAAGATAAGACTCTAATATTGTGGCTTTTTTGGGTAACACGACTTCACACCTGAATGAACTGAATTTAAAGCTGCAGCTCAATTCAGTTCATCTTTCTAAAATGGAGTACTTTATTTTAAGATGCACCATTTTTAAAAGCTTTCTGTTATGTAACTTATTCTTCAATCCAGTCCATATTTAAATTTATTTAAATTCATGTATTTGATTAATTATAATTCATCCAGTTCAATTTGAAAACTGACAAATATTCTTGAGATATTATTCAATTGCACTTTCTATATTTGATTTGACAGCCAGTTGTTGACTACATACAGACGTTAATACAACTGTTCGGCTACTTCACTACATATGGTACTAAATCATTGCGCAAGTTAGACATTATTGTGATATTCCGGACCTTTGTAGATGTAGAGCGTGCTAGCCGGTAACAGTGCCTTGGAAAGTGGGCCACCGGGACATCTGTATCAGCCGACAAAGACAGCAGTGGACTCCCAGCAGATGGACCAATGCAGTTGTGTTGTGCTGTAAGTCAATGGATGAATGCCAGTTTCCAGTCCCAGTGTGGGATGTGACTGGAATAACAAAGAGTTTCCACCAGAAAACAGGCATGGATGCCACTCGGTAGCTCTTGAAACGTTACACCTCAAAATAAAGCAGCTCGCCTCCATTTCATTAGTTTTACCAGCATTAATGTCATTTTTTAATCACAGTTCATTTATTTTGAGCTGTTTGAACGGTTCGGATCACTCCTGAACCGCGGATCAATTGAGTATTTATTTTCTTTTTTTTTACAGTTTAATCATCACAGTGTGTAATAAAGCTCTACTGCTGCTGTTCCTTTTCAAGTAACAAGTCCCCGAATATCAATGCAGAGTGTCAGTGAACAGGTATAAAGCAGTAGTGTGTTCACGTGAACGGAGCAGGCCTTAAATGTATCTTTCTTAAACATGCAGACCCCCTGGCCAGATTAACGGTATTCCTAACACGCCCTCATCCAGCCGTCTCCCGTGATTTACTTTCTATCTGCTCCTCATTGATTTGTGTGTTTGGTTTACACAGCCGCTTTTCCCTGCTGCCTGTTGTTTTGTTCTCCTTAACAGGGATTTAATTTCTCTCACAGCGGGGCTTTGGGAGGGATCAGACTGGACAGGGGCGACTTGGAAAGGTGTGTGTTTACCTCCGTGCCTCCACTCTACCAAGGGAAGGGATTTATCCTTCATCACAGGGTTTATAAAAGGATTGAAAAAGATGGATAGACGAATCAAGCCCACGATTTGACTCGGGGGAAGTGGAGGGTGTTGTGGAGTTAAAGGAATAATGTTCTTTTGGAAGTAGCTGGAACATTAAAAGACAGTGTATCTTGGATTCACAGTTACTATGAGTAACTTTCTTGTTGTGTTGATTTTGGCGGCCCCTGTGGGCAGAAGTGGTAGTGTTTACGAGCACCTTTAGTCCCGGTCAGTCTGTCCCGCTCAGTCCTGGTTGTGGTTGTACTGGGCCTCGCTTCCCTCAACAGGTCCAGCAATATGTCCGTTATTTGCAGTTACTATTCCCAGTAGAGGGGTTTGGCGGAGGGTTGAACAACTGCAGTAACTGTGCAAAACAAAATGGTAGCATGTCCTGTGTTGTTTGCTCGGCTCTAAATAAAACGGAAAGCAGTCTTTTCAACAGCGGTGCCAACGATAACACCGTTTGGAAATGCTGGGGGGGAGTTGTACAAATACAACACATTCAACTGTTTGTGCAGGTAATCGTAGACTATAATATCCTATTTTAATGTCTGCATCAGTCTAAATCGAACCAACGCACAGCCCCAATCTTAATCAGATCCACAGTGATGGGATGTTTTTTCTCCTCCCCATATTGTTCTCTCTGACCCTGATATCTGCTCGCTGCCTGATGCTGCGGTGGTCTTCTCTGTGTCTGGGTGACTTGATTAAATCCACAGTGTAATGGGAAACAAATTATGGCTTGTGCAGCATGATGAGTTGGAGGGGGGAATAATTAGTATGTTCATCCACCTCTTTGAAGGGGTGTGTGTGTGTGTGAGTGAGTGAGTGTAAGGCACTTTTACTAATTCTCACTCCTTCTCTGTCTCCTTTTTCTCATTTGCTGGATGTCTCCCGTGTGTGTGTGTGTGTGTGTGTGTGTGTGTGTGTGTGTGTGTGTGTGCAGCTCATGTCCACATGTAATTGTTGCAGTGCACACATCCTGGTGTGTGTTTCGCAGTGTAGTGAATTGTTAATATGTATTCACTAGTGGTTACTTGAAGCATCGCCATCAGTCTTTGCCTGGAAGTGATCCGTCAGTGGCTCTAATGATCCCACTCACACAGGCATACACACCCCGCTGCACGGTCTTCTGTCCATGTCGAACGTGCCAGAGGTTGGTAACTCTCGCATATGGCCGGAGGGTCGAGGCGGCTTTATCGTCACTACAGGTGAGGTCGGGGGAGACGGTGCGGGCCCATGTGCTGTCACTGACTGACCTAGAGACACCAGCAAGGATATGAAGTGCTGCCGAAGTCAATCGTGTGGGGATAAAAAAGGGGAACAAATGCACCCATTAATGTGACAGATGGAGTGTGAGGTTAGCCGTTAGTGTCGTTAATGTAACTCGGTCTGTATCCATTTTAAGAATAAATGTCACTCAAGGACGAGACGGCTTTCTAAAATACCCTGTAAATCACGAGAACATTTTAGTCGTCGTCACAATTCAAAGAATGACCGCTGAGTCGCCGACACTCTGACTTTATAAAGATTTACCGCCTCTGTTCAGCTGTCGGTTTCATATCGAGACGAGCAGGTTCTCTGTGTGCTCAGGAATTCGTTTTTCTAACGTGACTCATCGTGTAACTTTGTGTCTTTTCTAACAAAGCACTTGTGGGTATTATTAGTACGAATTATTATGAAATAAACAAGATGTGAAACATGATGCAGCAGTGCGTCGGTCTTCTTGTTGTGCTGTGTTTTAAACGTATCCCTCTTGTCTCCTTCTCTTTTTATCTTTGTCCAGTGGTATTGGCAGAAACTGGCCCTGGGCCTCAGGCGGCAGCAGCATCCTGGCAGAGTACGGCACCCTGCATCTGGAGTTCATGCACCTCAGCAAACTCTCGGGGAATCCGGACTTCGCACAGAAGGTAGCAGACACGCATGAGAGTAGATGATATTACTTTTTTTCCACAGTTAATGGCTGCATTCCACATGCACTCTTACACTTTAGACGTGTCTGTAATGTCTGAGAACTTGGAGAGGTGTTTCCCTGGAAGCAAAAATAAGGGCAGTTGTAGCCACTCTTCACCTCTTTACCTTATTTCTCCGTAGATATATTGATTATATCAAATATGAAACAAGTTTCAGTCTTTTCAGAGTGCTTCGCAGAAACCTTTTACAGACATCGTGCGATGTTTTGAAGTAGAGTTGTTCCGATACCAGTTTCTGAAATGCGTCCGATACAGCCTTAAAATTTCTGGATCAGGTAATGGCGAGTATGCAAGTCTGCTCACTGATCCAACCTCTCGTTATCATGTCATTAATCAGCTCATTTAGGCTACAGAGGAACAACAGTGACACGTGTCACTCGCTACTCGATCTGTACATCCTTCCCCGAGACGAGCAAACTACTGCTAAACACCTGTGGTTAAACGACCTCACGCACCCTATTATTCCCTGCAAATTTGTGTTGGAATCTGCTGGAGCAGAGCTAGTTAACCTTACTTGTTGCATTTGTGCTTTCTTCCTTTAATCAATAGGTAATGAACATCCGGAAAGTACTGGATCGCCTGGACAAACCACAGGGGCTTTACCCCAACTACCTGAACCCCAATAGCGGCCAGTGGGGCCAACGTAAGTCCAATTCTTATCACATCCCATTCAATTTCTTCTTTATTCACAACGTGTTATTTTGGGATACTCAGAGCTGCTTTTAATACAGTGGATCATCCATGTATACTGGACGTAAGATGGGTTGGTCTTCACCGGTTCTTTGGCCCTTCGCTGGTTGAAGAGAGAGTAAACATTGATTTTGTGTGCTTGATATTACATCTCAACTGTTACAAACATAATTGTGGCCAATTGATTTCTGCCCTGTTGCCACACAAATGCAAGAACCAGAGAGAGAAAGAGATGTATAAATACAGGGTGATTATCATGAGAATCACAGGCTGACATCTTTGGGTTAATCATAACCTGGACTTTGAGCCTGAGACATTTATAAAAATAAATTAGCATTTGTCACTTGAAGAATATCACCGAGGTTCGACCTTTCTTCTCCCCAAGATGACGCTGAAACACTAATGCCTGCAAATGACTACTTGTCTGGATTCCTGTAATGCTCTTTAATGCTGCTCTTTCAAAGAAAGCTCTTCCACACCTGTCATTTGTACCGACGAAAACCAGGAATGCAAGTATCCTGCTGATGTCACAATGACTTCACGGGCTCCCGGTCGTCTATTACACTTTTAAAGGTGATGAACTTGAACCCAATTATGTACATAAATAATCTCCTGCCACAATTTAGAGCTCTCGGATCCACTGACTACTTTTTATAACAACCGTCTATGTTGAGCAGAGCTGAAAGGATCTGTTGATACATTTATTAGTTGATTGATACAACTGTGATCAGTAACTATTCTGATGATCAGTTTATCCCTCAGCTCTTTTTTAAGCCTAAAATGTGCTGGTTCTGCTTTTAAATTGTGAATGTTTGCTTGCTTTTTTCAACTTCTATCATGAAAAATTGGATCTCTTCTGACAAAACAAACAATTTTGAATACATATGTTTGGGCTTTGGGAAATAGCGATTGACACATATGTATTTAGTCCTATTTTTATTACATTTAATGGACCAAACAACATTCTTTCTATTTCATTTACTGTACTCTTTTAAAAAAGTGCCTGATACATACATTTGGTTTTATAGGTCTAAATTAAAGCTAAAATATGAATTTGTTTAAGGAGCGGTCCGTAAGTTTTGTGACATAAAAATGTAGTGTTTCTTTTGATATTGATGTCACATATGATGACAGACTGTCTCATTTGACATTGTGCTAGAAGTGGTGCTGAATGGCTTTAAGTGTCATGTCCGCTCGTCCTTTTCTCTCTCTCTCTCTTCACTCTTTCTATTTGAACCTTGTTGACTCTTTTTATTGCTGCAACCCACTGTTGCACCCGTTCCACTGTTTTGTATTCTCACTCCACCCCCGATCTCTATCTTTAACTCACCCGTCTGACTCTCTCACAGATTGTGGCAATAGGGTATGATTGTGAATCGACTATCAGACTCTTCAAACCATGTAGCTGAACGGGTAATGGTGATAATAATGAGGTGAGGCTTTGAGGAAGACGAGGGCATGGGGTGGGGCGGGGGGGTTCAGGAACAAGGAGAGGAACATATGGAGTTAAAGAGAGATGAATAATTTATAATGGACAAGGTATGTACGGTATAGTTCTCAAGAGAAACTCCAGCAGTAAAAGCCTCTCCTAATGCCACTTGTCATCATCGGAGAAAGTAGATATGAGTAGATATTATTAAAGTGACACTGACGAGAGAAGGGCTGCATATCAAGATCCATTCTTAAGGCATCTTTAAGTGTGTTTCACCTCCAGTGAGCAAAAATGGGACTTCAGAACAAACTCAAAGTGACAAGCTTATACATCAAATCATCAAGTTCTCAAAGGTTTTTTTTTGGGGGGGGAATTCTTTCTTGCAGAGAGTTGGATGAGAAGATTGACACCACTTTATAATCTGTACGGTTAATATGAAGCTACAGCCAGGAGACAGTTGGCTCTTGTCATAGAAATAGAGAAATAGTCCAAAATCCACCGATTATTTAGCTTTTGTACAGAACAATTATATATTACATCTTTACAACTTTACAGGCGCTGTTTCCAGTCTTTATGCTAACCCTCTTATGGCATTAACCTCATATATAATGGACAGACATAGGAGTAGTGCTGATATTCTCAAGTGGCCGAGAGTGTTGTTGATTTTCTTTGTCGCACTCTCAACAAGAATGCAATTTTCCCAAAATGTCGAGGGGAAAAAAAAAAAAAGTTAGATTTAAATCCTGAGACAGGTTTCTGGGTCTTTAGTGGACTTTTTAAAAAATCAAATAGTACCAGTAACTCTGGAGCCTCAGGGCCTCAATCTATTTACATCGTGCCAAATCACAGCAGAAGTTATCTCAGTGCATACAGAGCAGGTATTTATTATGTTATTAGTCCGTACTTCTCTTTATGATATAATTCACAGAGACCAGGAGCGAGCACTTTTAAACAGGCAGAAAGCTCGAGCAGAACCAGGCTCTGCCTCGACTTAAACACATCAGGAACATCAGAAAAACAATTATTGCCGCTGCCATTTCATTTCTGCCACTTACCAATGACTGCAGAGATTAGGCAAATTAGACCAGTAATGGATTTAAAAGCTGACTTTGTTTGAGGCAGAGTTTTGCATACAAAGTAGTACAGAAACATCATGTTCTTTGTAATTTAAAGTTGTCAGACTGGTGTTTGAATCAACAGGAAAGGACAAACGCAGAGCTGGAAAATGAATTTGAAATGAGTGGAACTTATTAACTTTTCATGCTCAATATGCTTTATTACCCGTTTCACCGTGTAGAGGTGTTTGTTCAGACCAGTCGACGTTCTACTTAAAATCAGGGCACACTTCTCTTGATTTCCACAAGAAAACTTTATGCCATCAAATTAGAAATCTTTTGATCCAGTTTTATTATTAAGATTTTGATATCCATTGATATGCCTCAGAGTTTATGAGAGTCCTGTCTCAAATAGTTTTTGATACCCAGCCCTTGATGCGAGGGCTGTTTATATCTGGGATGGTTAAATATGGATCTGCACCTCTGGTCTGCTTACTTTTATTATCTGATGCATGAAACGTGGAATAAAGCTACTGAAAGCACATCCGCAGTTCTAATTGTTGGCATTTAGCCGACACTCTTAACCAGAGCCAGTAACTGTGTTTTCATCCAAGTGCTTTATGCAAATGATGACATATCCGGTGAGGAATGTTGAATAGAAACAGCAAGTTTCAACCGAAATTTTTTAAAGTCCTCTATCACAAAAAAGGAAAAAAAAAACACTTTTATGCTCGTCTTTGCCAGAAAGGGTTTTTCATCTACAAAGACATTATGCAATAGTGATGGGAATGCATTTGTTAAATAAATTATGACCCAGGGATGTTTGCAGCCTAATGTTGTCTGAGAAAGATCTCTCTACCACAGCCTCACAGAAGTGCTGCTGTCTTTCATGTGCCGTACGTACACACACAGAAAACCACAATCATGTTTCAGCGTTTTTTCTGTGTTTTATCCAAACAGCTGTTATGTTGTAATGTGTGGTTAAGAACATGCTGAGTCATTAGTTTCCACCCTCTCTCTGCATCAAAGTTTGTGTCAGAAACGTGTTTACACGTGAACGTTCACTGGGATCAGACGGCTCTATTTTGAGCGTGCGTCGTCTCTCTGGCTCGTGCGGCGTTCTTGTTTCAATATTGTTTTAATATTGAACTCGCAGAAGGTCAGATACTCTTATTGGCTGCGCACCAGCCCATTTCCACCGCCAGCCTCCTTTTCTCTTCCCTTCAAGATGATCACTGCTGACATTTAATCTCTGCGCTCCGCAAACAGGGCTGGACTCCGTTAATGACACATACATATGGATGAGCCTTCACTGACAATCAGAAGGGCGAATACAGAAGCGCCGCTCGGCCGGCTGGAGGCTCTCCTGCGATAGCACGCGCGCATAATAATACGGCAGTATATCACGGGCTGTACTGGAGGTGTGTTCTCTTTATATTGCACACATATATCTGGCCCTGTGTCGTGTGAGGGTGATCTATGGATGGTCCAACGGTTGTAATCTTAGGCAGCATACATGTAGGAGCCCTGTGTGTGTGTGTGTGTGTGTGTGTGTGTGTGTGTGTGTGTGTGTGT